TGCGAAGTAGGTCCACAGGCAACACTGGGTCGCATTTGGGGTTTCGGATGTCGCTTGCCGGGCCATGGTTTGCGAGGTTCTCGCGGCGCCAGACCTGCTCAACCTGGATGCGAAGGTCCAGGACACCCAGGACACGTGTGTTCAATGACGCGCAGGGGTGCAGGGGCTCGTGCATGGGTATCGGTGCCAACTTGGCAGGGATTACCACGAGTAACCAAACGCATGTACAGTTGCAGTGCCAAACATAGTGGTTCACTTGAGCTTCGAGTCAGCATTGCAGTGGCAGGATGCTGACAAGAAAGAGGAAACCTCGATCTGAGCTTCCTAGAGGGAAGGGCCGTGTCCAAGGTCGATGTCGGTGCTGCCCCTGAATACATTCATTGCATTTTTGGTCCTTCGGGGGCTTTGTTAGAGTTTTTTGGCATGAGCCGGACCTGTGACGCTCGTGTTGGTTTGTTTGAGCGTGGTCTGGCATGCTGTTTGAGAGCAGGTTGCGGCTTATGCTTAAACTATTTCTCGAGCGCTACTCAACCCAGGGCAGATGTCAGCATATCGCTCACGCTGGCTTTGACGCTCTTGGGGTCTTTGATGCCTGATCGAAGACAAGTCTTAAGTGCAGTCACCATGTGACACATCACACCTGCAAGCTATCGCTATGCATCGCACAAAGTGCCTTGCATGCGCGGAAAACGCGCGATGCCGGCGGGTAAACCCTATAGCACCCATAGTTGTACAGTGAACAAAAGAGCTGGCGGTGCGAGCAGGCGCAAGTTGGCAGCTAGCCTGGCGCAATGGAACGATGCTCAGACAAGTGAACAGCATGTTCATTACAGAAGAAGTAAGCTTGACTCAGGAATGTGTGCTTTTTCAACCATGACTGAGGGGTCTTCTTTGGACGGTTGCACTTTTTGTTGAATGGTTTGAAGTAGCTCAGCCGGGCTTGGTCGGAAGCTCGAGGAGGTTGGGCCTTGCATTCTGTAGATGCATGCCTTGGATTGGTCGGCTTGAGCATCTCGTTTTCACGGACCACTGTTTATTTTGTAGCAGGGCGGTCGTGACAGGCAGACGCCATCTTTGGCGAGTCTCCGAATGATTTCCTAGGCTCGCAGCAACGTAGGGGCTCAAGGACAAGCTGAATCAGAATCATGACAGAGGCGGAGGCAGTGATTCGAAATGAGTCGGGCTACATCACGCACACAGCCAAGAAGGACTTCGGACCTTTGGAGTTTACGGGCAAGATCGCGGGTGGGCTGAGGCTCGACATCCGCAGGCGGGCGCCCCTCTACCTCAGCGACTGGACGGACGCCTTTAAGTCCCAGAACATCCAGAAAACGGTGTCCTCCGTTCTCTACCTGTTCATAGCAGCGCTGGCCCCGGCCATCACGCCGCCAGGCTTAACATGATTTTCAAGGCATTCCGAGTAGCAGTGGCTAGCAATGCAGCGGCTTTGAGATGCGGATCGAGAGGAAGCGAGTGATTGAGAGGGCTTGTATACCTTTTTACCCTTTTTGGTAGTAGCCTTGCTTTGATTTGATGAGCTTTGATTTGAGGCTCACATGCTAAGCTGTTTTGGACCCTTGTGCTGGTGTGATTGCTTTAAAATTTAAGGCGTCCCAGGAACCAAACAGTCATGCAAGGCCCCAACTGCGATGCTATTCCCAAGCCCATTAGCCACCGGAAAACCATTGCGCTCCGTTTCTACTACCAATTTGTTCATTTCTTGTGCACACATATGAAGTTGCTGCAGAAGGGATATGAAGGACCAGATAAGTGAACTCATAGTTTCACTGCTCACATGTGCAGTCTACGGGCCCTTCAGCATCTCCAGCATCGAACGTAGTTTTTGACGTCTTGGCGTTCAGAAGCATTCACCAGCCAAGGTTCGGGAGCCGGTTTTTGGACGGCACCAAGGGTCAGTTTGGAGTTCTGGAGATGATCATGTCATCCGCCATCAGTGGCATGCTGTTTTCTACCTTCGCAGGGCAGCCCTTGTCCATCCTGGGTGCCACTGGCCCCTTCTTGGCGTACACGCTGGTGGTTTTTGAGATGGCTGAAGGAGCGGACCTGGAGTTCATGCCTTTCTACTTCTGGGTTTGCATGTGGTGTTCGCTCTTCACAATTCTCGTGGCTGTGTTTGACCTGTGCGCCCTGATGAAGCACGTGACCATGTTTAGCGAGGACATCTTCGCTGGCCTGATCAGTCACATGCTCAGGGGCCGAGTGCGAGCATTGCGCGTGTGTTGTTGATCGACCGATCAAGCCGGCTGACCAGGCAACACATACACGCACAGACGTTTCATAGGATAGTTTGCGTGAAAACATACAACCCGAGAACCTTTGCGGAACATTAGATCTTGCACATATCGAATCAGTTGAACCTGCCCGAACATGCTGACTAGGAACACCATTGTTCCGTTGTGGCAAGACCTGCCGCTGAGGCTTGATCTTCATCATCGACGGCGTGACCCCCTTAATCCGGAATTTCTCTGACGGTCAGATGAGCCTGACCAACGCCATGTTCGAAGCCTTGCTGTTCCTCTACACCTTTGGACTTGCCAGCTACCTCTCCCATTTCAGGCGCACGCCGTGGTTGCTCCGACCCATCCGCAACCTGATGGCCAACTTCGCTGTGACCATCGCCCTGCTCACCGCCTCTGCGCTGGCGGCCCTGTACTCCAGCGACACGTCACTGCGCATGCTGACTGTGGACGCTGAGTTTGCCCCTGCCCTGAGCTTGTCAGACGGCAGCAAGCGGCCTTGGATCGTGAACCCTGCCGGCATCGATCGGCCCTTCCCTGCCTGGGCAATCGCCTATGCCATCATCCCCTCAATTGGCTTTGCTGTGCTGGGCTACTTGGACCAGAACTTGACGAGCGTCATTGTGAACCGGCCGTCGAACGGGCTGCAGAAGGGGCCCGGCTACCACCTTGACCTGTTCGTGAGAGGCGCCCTGACGCTGCCGGCCTGCGCCGTGCTGGGCCTGCCCCTGTCTGTGGCCTCAACTGTGCCCAGCATCACCCACGTGATCTCGCTGACCACTTACGAGGTGAAGCAGCTGCCACAGGGCGAGACCAAGGTGCCTTCCAAGGTCGTCGAGCAGCGCGCCACGAACTTCCTGATCCACGTGCTCATTGGCTGCGCGCTCTTCCTGGCTCCGGTGCTCAAGTTTCTGCCGCGGTCCGTGCTGCAGGGGGTGTTCTTCTACATGGGCATCGCGTCCTTGACCGGCAACAACCTCTTCGACCGCCTCTTCCTTTGGATGATTTGGGACTCTTCCAAGTACCCGCAGTACAACTACATCCAGAAGCTGCCCATCAAGCGTGTCCACTTGTACACCTTTGTGCAGGTGATTTGCTTGGCCATCCTGTACGGCCTCAAGGCCATCAAGGAGACCTCTGTGGTGTTCCCCTTCTTCATGGCGTCCTTGGCTATTATTCGCAAGGCGGGGCATCCAAGGATTTTGCAGAGTAGAACCCCTTCAGCCCAGTACTACGCAACTGCGTAAAGTTTTGGCCAGGCCATGGTATACATGTTCACTGCGGAAGAGCTGCAGCTCTTGGACAGCGCTGCTGAGGAGGAGGAGGACGAGGCGTGTCCAATCTGTTTGGCAGGGGTTCAAGATGTCAATTTTGGGGATGGCTGTCCGGAGATGGGGTCCAGATCGGAGAGTAAGAAGTGGGGGCACAAATGACAGCGGAAGGGCATCTATCGCGGCAGTCTAAGCATGGACGTAAATTTCCTTGCTTTATGAGGAGACGGCCCCATAAGAAGGGAACTTGTTTTGAAGGGCGACAGAAAGGTAGGACAGGATTTTTTAGACTTTAGCCTCATGCGAAGTAGGTCCACAGGCAACACTGGGTCGCATTTGGGGTTTCGGATGTCGCTTGCCGGGCCATGGTTTGCGAGGTTCTCGCGGCGCCAGACCTGCTCAACCTGGATGCGAAGGTCCAGGACACCCAGGACACGTGCGTTCAATGACGCGCAGGGGTGCAGGGGCGCGTGCATGGGTATCGGTGCCAACTTGGAAGTGTGGTCTTGCAGTAAGGGATTACCACGAGTAACCAAACGTATGTACATTTGCAGTGCCAAACATAGTGGTTCACTTGAGCTTCGAGTCAGCATTGCAGTGGCAGGATGCTGACAAGAAAGAGGAAACCTCGATCTGAGCTTCCTAGAGGGAAGGGCCGTGTCCAAGGTCGATGTCGGTGCTGCCCCTGAATACATTCATTGCATTTTTGGCCCTTCGGGGGCTTTGTTAGAGTTTTTTGGCATGAGCCGGACCTGTAACGCCCGTGTTGGTTTGTTTGAGCGTGGTCTGGCATGCTGTTTGAGAGCAGGTTGCGGCTTATGCTTAAACTATTTCTCGAGCGCTACTCAACCCAGGGCAGATGTCAGCATATCGCTCACGCTGGCTTTGACGCTCTTGGGGTCTTTGATGCCTGATCGAAGACAAGTCTTAAGTGCAGTCACCATGTGACACATCACACCTGCAAGCTATCGCTATGCATCGCACAAAGTGCCTTGCATGCGCGGAAAACGCGCGATGCCGGCGGGTAAACCCTATAGCACCCATATTTGTACAGTGAACAAAAGAGCTGGCGGTGCGAGCAGGCGCAAGTTGGCAGCTAGCCTGGCGCAACGGAACGATGCTCAGACAAGTGAACAGCATGTTCATTACAGAAGAAGTAAGCTTGACTCAGGTATGTGTGCTTTTTCAACCATGACTGAGGGGTCTTCTTTGGACGGTTGCACTTTTTGTTGAATGGTTTGAAGTAGCTCAGCCGGGCTTGGTCGGAAGCTCGAGGAGGTTGGGCCTTGCATTCTGTAGATGCATGCCTTGGATTGGTCGATTTGAGCATCTCGTTTTCACGGACCACTGACCACTGTTTTATTTTGTAGCAGGGCGGTCGTGACAAGCAAACGCCATCTTTGGCGAGTCTCCGAAGGATTTCCTAGGCTCGCAGCAACGTAGGGGCTCAAGGACAAGCTGAATCAGAATCATGACAGAGGCGGAGGCAGTGATTCGAAATGAGTCGGGCTACATCACGCACACAGCCAAGAAGGACTTCGGACCGTTGGAGTTTACGGGCAAGATCGCGGGTGGGCTGAGGCTCGACATCCGCAGGCGGGCGCCCCTCTACCTCAGCGACTGGACGGACGCCTTTAAGTCCCAGAACATCCAGAAAACGGTGTCCTCCGTTCTCTACCTGTTCATAGCAGCGCTGGCCCCGGCCATCACGCCGCCAGGCTTAACATGATTTTCAAGGCACTCCGAGTAGCAGTGGCTAGCAATGCAGCGGCTTTGAGATGCTGATCCAGAGGAAGCGAGTGATTGAGAGGGCACGTATACCTTTTTACCCTTTTTGGTAGTAGCCTTTGGCCTTCCAGCGCGCCTTCTTTGATTTGCACGGGTCGATGAGCTTTGACTTGGGGCTCACATGCTAAGCTGTTTTGGACCCTTGTGCTGGTGTGATTGCTTTAAAATTTAAGGCGTCCCAGGAACCAACAGTCATGCAAGGCCCCAACTGCGATGCTATTCCCAAGCCCATCAGCCACCGGAAAACCATTGCGCTCCGTTTTTACTACCAATTTGTTCATTTCTTGTGCACACATCTGAAGTTGCTGCAGAAGGGATATGAAGGACCAGATAAGTATAGTTTCACTGCTCACATGTGCAGTCTACGGGCCCTTCAGCATCTCATCGAACGTAGTTTTTGACGTCTTGGCGTTCAGAAGCATTCACCAGCCAAGGTTCGGGAGCCGGTTTTTGGACGGCACCAAGGGTCAGTTTGGAGTTCTGGAGATGATCATGTCATCCGCCATCAGTGGCATGCTGTTTTCTACCTTCGCAGGGCAGCCCTTGTCCATCCTGGGTGCCACTGGCCCCTTCTTGGCGTACACGCTGGTGGTTTTTGAGATGGCTGAAGCGGCGGACCTGGAGTTCATGCCTTTCTACTTCTGGGTTTGCATGTGGTGTTCGCTCTTCACAATCCTTGTGGCTGTGTTTGACCTGTGCGCCCTGATGAAGCACGTGACCATGTTTAGCGAGGACATCTTCGCTGGCCTGATCAGTCACATGCTCAGGGGCCGAGTAGCATTGCGCGTGTGTTGTTGATCGACCGATCGCCGGCTGACCAGGCAACACATACACGCACAGACGTTTCATAGGATAGTTTGCGTGAAAACATACAACCCGAGAACCTTTGCGGAACATTAGATCTTGCACATATTGAATCAGTTGAACCAGTGTGATCATGCTGACTAGGGAACACCATTGTTCCGTTGTGGCAAGACCTGCCGCTGAGGCTTGATCTTCATCATCGACGGCGTGACCCCCAATCCGGAATTCTCTGACGGTCAGATGAGCCTGACCAATGCCATGTTCGAGCCTTGCTGTTCATCTACACGTTCGGACTTGCCACTTACCTGTCCCATTTCCGGCGCACGCCATGGTTGCTCCGGCCCATCCGCACCTGATGGCCAACTTCGCTGTGACCATCGCGCTGGTCACCGCGTCCGCGCTGGCCGCCCTCTACTCCAGCGACACGTCACTGCGGATGCTGACCGTGGACGCCGAGTTTGCCCCTGCCTTGAGCCTGTCAGACGGCAGCAAGCGGCCTTGGATCGTGAACCCTGCAGGCATCGATCGGCCCTTCCCTGCCTGGGGCATTGCCTATGCCATCATCCCCTCCATTGGCTTTGCGGTGCTGGGCTACTTGGACCAGAACTTGACGAGCGTCATTGTGAACCGGCCATCGAACGGGCTGAAGAAGGCTCCCGGCTACCACCTGGACCTTTTCGTGCGGGGCGCTCTGACGCTGCCTGTCTGCGCCATGCTGGGCCTGCCCCTGTCCGTGGCCTCCACTGTTCCCAGCATTACGCACGTGATCTCGCTGACCACCTACGAGGTGAAGCAGCTGCCAGAGGGCGAGCGCAAGGTGCCCGCCAAGGTGGTCGAGCAGCGCGCGACGAACTTCCTGATCCACGTGCTCATTGGCTGCGCGCTCTTCCTGGCTCCGGTGCTCAAGTTTCTGCCGCGGTCCGTGCTGCAGGGGGTGTTCTTCTACATGGGCATCGCGTCCTTGACCGGCAACAACCTCTTCGACCGCCTCTTCCTTTGGATGATTTGGGACTCTTCCAAGTACCCGCAGTACAACTACATCCAGAAGCTGCCCATCAAGCGTGTCCACTTGTACACCTTTGTGCAGGTGATTTGCTTGGCCATCCTGTACGGCCTCAAGGCCATCAAGGAGACCTCTGTGGTGTTCCCCTTCTTCATGGCGTCCTTGGCTATTATTCGCAAGGCGGGGCATCCGAGGATTTTGCAGAGTAGAACCCCTTCAGCCCAGTAATGTTGACCCCGTAATAGTATGTAACCCCCCCCCCCTCGAAGGTCGGGAAGGTTTTGGGGAGCAAGATTTTGGAAGGTATTTTGCCACCCCCCCTAAATAATCTGGAGTTGAGTTTCCATTTGATTTAGTATTGCTGGAGCTTCCTTTTGAGATCTGGAATTGAGTTTCCATTTGATTTAGTATTGCTGGAGCGTCCTTTTGAGATCTGGAATTGAGTTTCCATTTGATTTAGTATTGCTGGAGCTTCCTTTTGAGATCTGGAATTGAGTTTCCATTTGATTTAGTATTGCTGGAGCTTCGTTTTGAGATCTGGAATTGAGTTTTCATTTGAATTAGTATTGCTGGAGCGTCCTTTTGAGATCTGGAATTGAGTTTCCATTTGTTTCCATTTGATTTAGTATTGCTGGAGCTTCCATTTGAGATCTGGAATTGAGTTTCCAGTTGATTTAGTATTGCTGGAGCGTGGTTTTGAGATCTGGAATTGAGTTTCCATTTGATTTAGTATTGCTGGAGCGTGGTTTTGAGATCTGGAATTGAGTTTTATTGAGAAGGTCTGGTTGTCTTTTTTGGGGGGTGGGGCCGATGGACCGCGCTAATTAGGGGGGGGAGGAAATAATTTGGGGGCGTAAGGGGCCAATGTGGGGTACCCTCTGAAACCTTCTAAACTTGATTTTTTAGTAAAGGATTTAATAAGAAATCGACCATCTCAGAACACTTTTTGTTTTGTGGTTTGGGCAGGCCCAAAAGTATCCACCAAGCTTCAAGAAGCCCTAAGCAAGGCAGCAGCATGAAGAGAAAGCTTTCAGAAGAAAGCAAGAGCCCATTTGAGCCAACGAGCCTTTTCAGGACACCTTTCAGAGAAAGCATGGCAAGCAGCATGAGCCCACAATATTCAACATCAGCAGCATCGGCTAGCACCAAAAAAACAGTTTACATTGTAATGAGCTCAGGCAGCAGTGGAGAAAGTGAGATAGCAGCCATCTGGGGGAGTGACCGGTTTAATGAGGGGGGGTTGTTTTGCATCATTTTTTTATTTGGGGGGTATTTTCTGAGTTGTGAATTGTTTAGTATTGGGGGGGGGGTCACCCGGAAGGGGTAATACGGGGTCAACATTACTACGCAACTGCGTCTGAAAAGTTTTGGCCAGGCCATGGTATACATGTTCACTGCAGAAGAGCTGCAGCTCTTGGACAGCGCTGCTGAGGAGGAGGAGGAGGACGAGGCGTGTCCATCTGTCGCGCATTCAAGATGTCAATTTTGGGGATGATCGGAGAGTGAGAAGTGAGGGCACAAATGACAGCGGAAGGGCAGAGTCTAAGAATGGACGTAAATTTCCTTGGTTTATGAGGAGACGGCCCCATAAGAAGGGAACTTGTTTTGAAGGGCGACAGAAAGGTAGGACAGGATTTTTTAGACTTTAGCCTCATGCGAAGTAGGTCCACAGGCAACACTGGGTCGCATTTGGGGTTTCGGATGTCGCTTTCCGGGCCATGGTTTGCGAGGTTCTCGCGGCCCCAGACCTGCTCAACTTGGATGCGAAGGTCCAGGACACCCAGGACACGTGCGTTCAATGATGCGCAGGGGTGCAGGGGTGCGTGCATGGGGATCGGTGCCAACTTGGCAGAGTTGGTCTTGCAGTGAGTGATTAGCACAAGTAACCAAACGCATGTACAGTTGCAGTGCCAAACACAGTGGTTCACTTGAGCTTCGAGTCAGCATTGCAGTGGCAGGATGCTGACAAGAAAGAGGAAACCTCGATCTGAGCTTCCTAGAGGGAAGGGCCGTGTCCAAGGTCGATGTCGGTGCTACCCCTGAATACATTCATTGCATTTTTGGTCCTTCGTGGGCTTTGTTAGAGTTTTTTGGCATGAGCCGGACCTGTAACGCCCGTGTTGGTTTGTTTGAGCGTGGTTTGGCCTGCTGTTTGAGAGCAGGTTGCGGCTTATGCTTAAACTATTTCTCGAGCGCTACTCAACCCAGGGCAGATGTCAGCATATCGCTCACGCTGGCTTTGACGCTCTTGGGGTCTTTGATGCCTGATCGAAGACAAGTCTTAAGTGCAGTCACCATGTGACACATCACACCTGCAAGCTATCGCTATGCATCGCACAAAGTGACTTGCATGCGCGGAAAACGCGCGATGCCGGCGGGTAAACCCTATAGCACCCATATTTGTACAGTGAACAAAAGAGCTGGCGGTGCGAGCAGGCGCAAGTTGGCAGCTAGCCTGGCGCAATGGAACGATGCTCAGACAAGTGAACTGCATGTTCATTACAGAAGAAGTAAGCTTGACTCAGGTATGTGTGCTTTTTCAACCATGACTGAGGGGTCTGCTTTGGACGGTTGCACTTTTTGTTGAATGGTTTGAAGTAGCTCAGCCGGGCTTGGTTGGAAGCTCGAGGAGGTTGGGCCTTGCATTCTGTAGATGCATGCCTTGGATTGGTCGATTTGAGCATCTCGTTTTCACGGACCACTGTTTTATTTTGTAGCAGGGCGGTCGTGACAAGCAGACGCCATCTTTGGCGAGTCTCCGAATGATTTCCTAGGCTCGCAGCAACGTAGGGGCTCAAGGACAAGCTGAATCAGAATCATGACAGAGGCGGAGGCAGTGATTCGAAATGAGTCGGGCTACATCACGCACACAGCCAAGAAGGACTTCGGACCTTTGGAGTTCACGGGCAAGATCGCGGGTGGGCTGAGGCTCGACATCCGCAGGCGGGCGCCCCTCTACCTCAGCGACTGGACGGACGCCTTTAAGTCCCAGAACATCCAGAAAACGGTGTCCTCCGTTCTCTACCTGTTCATAGCAGCGCTGGCCCCGGCCATCACGCCGCCAGGCTTAACATGATTTTCAAGGCACTCCGAGTAACAGTGGCTAGCAATGCAGCGGCTTTGAGATGCTGATCGAGAGTAAGCGAGTGATTGAGAGGGCACGTATACCTTTTTACCCTTTTTGGTAGTAGCCTTTGGCCTTCCAGCGCGCCTTCTTTGATTTGCACGGGTCGATGAGCTTTGATTTGGGGCTCACATGCTAAGCTGTTTTGGACCCTTGTGCTGGTGTGATTGCTTTAAAATTTAAGGCGTCCCAGGAACCAAACAGTCATGCAAGGCCCCAACTGCGATGCATTTCCCAAGCCCATTAGCCACCGGAAAACCATTGCGCTCCGTTTCTACTACCAATTTGTTCATTTGTTGTGCACACATCTGAAGTTGCTGCAGAAGGGATATGAAGGACCAGACAAGTATAGTTTCACTGCTCACATGTGCAGTCTACGGGCCCTTCAGCATCTCCAGCATCGAACGTAGTTTTTGACGTCTTGGCGTTCAGAAGCATTCACCAGCCAAGGTTCGGGAGCCGGTTTTTGGACGGCACCAAGGGTCAGTTTGGAGTTCTGGAGATGATCATGTCATCCGCCATCAGTGGCATGCTGTTTTCTACCTTCGCAGGGCAGCCCTTGTCCATCCTGGGTGCCACTGGCCCCTTCTTGGCGTACACGCTGGTGGTTTTTGAGATGGCTGAAGGAGCGGACCTGGAGTTCATGCCTTTCTACTTCTGGGTTTGCATGTGGTGTTCGCTCTTCACAATTCTCGTGGCTGTGTTTGACCTGTGCGCCCTGATGAAGCACGTGACCATGTTTAGCGAGGACATCTTCGCTGGCCTGATCAGTCACATGCTCAGGGGCCGAGTAGCATTGCGCGTGTGTTGTTGATCGACCGATCAAGCCGGCTGACCAGGCAACACATACACGCACAGACGTTTCATAGGATAGTTTGCGTGAAAACATACAACCCGAGAACCTTTGCGGAACATTAGATCTTGCACATATTGAATCAGTTGAACCAGTGTGATCATGCTGACTAGGAACACCATTGTTCCGTTGTGGCAAGACCTGCCGCTGAGGCCTGATCTTCATCATCGACGGCGTGACCCCCTTAATCCGGAATTTCTCTGACGGTCAGATGAGCCTGACCAATGCCATGTTCGAAGCTTTGCTGTTCCTCTACACGTTCGGGCTTGCCAGCTACCTCTCCCATTTCCGGCGCACGCCGTGGTTGCTCCGACCCATCCGCAACCTGATGGCTAACTTCGCTGTGACCATCGCTCTGCTCACCGCCTCTGCTCTGGCGGCCCTGTACTCCAGCGACACGTCACTGCGCATGCTGACTGTGGACGCCGAGTTTGCCCCTGCCCTGAGCTTGTCAGACGGCAGCAAGCGGCCTTGGATCGTGAACCCTGCCGGCATCGATCGGCCCTTCCCTGCCTGGGCAATCGCCTATGCCATCATCCCCTCCATTGGCTTTGCGGTGCTGGGCTACTTGGACCAGAACTTGACGAGCGTCATTGTGAACCGGCCGTCGAACGGGCTGCAGAAGGGGCCCGGCTACCACCTTGACCTGTTCGTGAGAGGCGCCCTGACGCTGCCGGCCTGCGCCGTGCTGGGCCTGCCCCTGTCTGTGGCCTCAACTGTGCCCAGCATCACCCACGTGATCTCGCTGACCACTTACGAGGTGAAGCAGCTGCCACAGGGCGAGACCAAGGTGCCTTCCAAGGTCGTCGAGCAGCGCGCCACGAACTTCCTGATCCACGTGCTCATTGGCTGCGCGCTCTTCCTGGCTCCGGTGCTCAAGTTTCTGCCGCGGTCCGTGCTGCAGGGGGTGTTCTTCTACATGGGCATCGCGTCCTTGACCGGCAACAACCTCTTCGACCGCCTCTTCCTTTGGATGATTTGGGACTCTTCCAAGTACCCGCAGTACAACTACATCCAGAAGCTGCCCATCAAGCGTGTCCACTTGTACACCTTTGTGCAGGTGATTTGCTTGGCCATCCTGTACGGCCTCAAGGCCATCAAGGAGACCTCTGTGGTGTTCCCCTTCTTCATGGCGTCCCTGGCTATTATCCGCAAGGCGGGGCATCCGGGGGTTTTGCAGAGTAGAACCCCTTCCGCCCAGTGCTGCAACTGGGTGTAAAGTTTTGGCCAGGCCATGGTATACTTGTTCACTGCGGAAGAGCTGCAGCTCTTGGACAGCGCTGCTGAGGAGGAGGAGGACGAGGCGTGTCCAATCTGTTTGGCACGGGTTCAAGATGTCAATTTTGGGGATGGCTGTCCGGAGATTGGGTCCAGATCGGAGAGTGAGAAGTGAGGGCACAAATGACAGCGGAAGGGCAGAGTCCAAGAATGGACGTAAATTTCCTTGCTTTATGAGGAGACGGCCCCATAAGAAGGGAACTTGTTTTGAAGGGCGACAGAAAGGTAGGACAGGATTTTTTAGACTTTAGCCTCATACGAAGTAGGTCCACAGGCAACACTGGGTCGCATTTGGGGTTTCGGATGTCGCTTGCCGGGCTATGGTTTGCGAGGTTCTCGCGGCCCCAGACCTGCTCAACCTGGATGCGAAGGTCCAGGACACCCAGGACACGTGCGTTCAATGACGTGCAGGGGTGCGGGGGTGCGTGCATGGGGATCGGTGCCAACTTGGCAGAGTTGGTCTTGCAGTGAGTGATTAGCACAAGTAACCAAACGCATGTACAGTTGCAGTGCCAAACACAGTGGCTCACTTGAGCTTCGAGTCAGCATTGCAGTGGCAGGATGCTGGCAAGAAAGAGGAAATCTCGATCTGAGCTTCCTAGAGGGAAGGGCCGTGTCCAAGGTCGATGTCGGTGCTACCCCTGAATACATGCATTGCAATTTTGGTCCTTAGGGAGCTTTGTTAGAGTTTTTTGGCATGAGCCGGACCTGTAACGCCCGTGTTGGTTTGTTTGAGCGTGGTCTGGCATGCTGTTTGAGAGCAGGTTGCGGCTTATGCTTAAACTATTTCTCGAGCGCTACTCAACCCAGGGCAGATGTCAGCATATCGCTCACGCTGGCTTTGACGCTCTTGGGGTCTTTGATGCCTGATCGAAGACACGTCTTAAGTGCAGTCACCATGTGACACATCACACCTGCAAGCTATCGCTATGCATCGCACAAAGTGCCTTGCATGCGCGGAAAACGCGCGATGCCGGCGGGTAAACCCTATAGCACCCATATTTGTACAGTGAACAAAAGGGCTGGCGGTGCGAGCAGGCGCAAGTTGGCAGCTAGCCTGGCGCAATGGAACGATGCTCAGACAAGTGAACAGCATGTTCATTACAGAAGAAGTAAGCTTGACTCAGGTATGTGTGCTTTTTCAACCATGACTGAGGGGTCTTCTTTGGACGGTTGCACTTTTTGTTGAATGGTTTGAAGTAGCTCAGCCGGGCTTGGTCGGAAGCTCGAGGAGGTTGGGCCTTGCATTCTGTAGATGCCTGCCTTGGATTGGTCGATTTGAGCATCTCGTTTTCACGGACCACTGTTTTATTTTGTAGCAGGGCGGTCGTGACAAGCAGACGCCATCTTTGGCGAGTCTCCGAATGATTTCCTAGGCTCGCAGCAACGTAGGGGCTCAAGGACAAGCTGAATCAGAATCATGACAGAGGCGGAGGCAGTGATTCGAAATGAGTCGGGCTACATCACGCACACAGCCAAGAAGGACTTCGGACCTTTGGAGTTCACGGGCAAGATCGCGGGTGGGCTGAGGCTCGACATCCGCAGGCGGGCGCCCCTCTACCTCAGCGACTGGACGGACGCCTTTAAGTCCCAGAACATCCAGAAAACGGTGTCCTCCGTTCTCTACCTGTTCATAGCAGCGCTGGCCCCGGCCATCACGCCGCCAGGCTTAACATGATTTTCAAGGCACTCCGAGTAACAGTGGCTAGCAATGCAGCGGCTTTGAGATGCTGATCGAGAGGAAGTGAGTGATTGAGAGGGCTTGTATACCTTTTTACCCTTTTTGGTAGTAGCCTTGCACGGATCGATGAGCTTTGATTTGAGGCTTACTTGCTAAGCTGTTTTGGACCCTTGTGCTGGTGTGATTGCTTTAAAATTTAAGGCGTCCCAGGAACCAACAGTCATGCAAGGCCCCAACTGCGATGCTATTCCCAAGCCCACTAGCCACCGGAAAACCATTGCGCTCCGTTTCTACTACCAATTTGTTCATTTGTTGTGCACACATCTGAAGTTGCTGCAGAAGGGATATGAAGGACCAGACAAGTATAGTTTCACTGCTCACATGTGCAGTCTACGGGCCCTTCAGCATCTCCAGCATCGAACGTATTTGTCCACGTCTTGGAGTTCAGAAGCATTCACCAGCCAAGGTTCGGGAGCCGGTTTTTGGACGGCACCAAGGGTCAGTTTGGAGTTCTGGAGATGATTATGTCATCCGCCATCAGTGGCATGCTGTTTTCTACCTTCGCAGGGCAGCCCTTGTCCATCCTGGGTGCCACTGGCCCCTTCTTGGCGTACACGCTGGTGGTTTTTGAGATGGCTGAAGGAGCGGACCTGGAGTTCATGCCTTTCTACTTCTGGGTTTGCATGTGGTGTTCGCTCTTCACAATTCTCGTGGCTGTGTTTGACCTGTGCGCCCTGATGAAGCACGTGACCATGTTTAGCGAGGACATCTTCGCTGGCCTGATCAGTCACATGCTCAGGGGCCGAGTAGCATTGCGCGTGTGTTGTTGATCGACCGATCAAGCCGGCTGACCAGGCAACACATACACGCACAGACGTTTCATAGGATAGTTTGCGTGAAAACATACAACCCGAGAACCTTTGCGGAACATTAGATCTTGCACATATTGAATCAGTTGAACCAGTGTGATCATGCTGACTAGGAACACCATTGTTCCGTTGTGGCAAGACCTGCCGCTGAGGCCTCATCTTCATCATCGACGGCGTGACCCCCTTAATCCGGAATTTCTCTGACGGTCAGATGAGCCTGACCAATGCCATGTTCGAAGCCTTGCTGTTCCTCTACACGTTCGGGCTTGCCAGCTACCTCTCCCATTTCAGGCGCACGCCGTGGTTGCTCCGACCCATCCGCAACCTGATGGCCAACTTCGCTGTGACCATCGCCCTGCTCACCGCCTCTGCGCTGGCGGCCCTGTACTCCAGCGACACGTCACTGCGCATGCTGACTGTGGACGCCGAGTTTGCCCCTGCCCTGAGCTTGTCAGACGGCAGCAAGCGGCCTTGGATCGTGAACCCTGCCGGCATCGATCGGCCCTTCCCTGCCTGGGCAATCGCCTATGCCATCATCCCCTCCATTGGCTTTGCTGTGCTGGGCTACTTGGACCAGAACTTGACGAGCGTCATTGTGAACCGGCCGTCGAATGGGCTGCAGAAGGGGCCCGGCTACCACCTTGACCTGTTCGTGAGAGGCGCCCTGACGCTGCCGGCCTGCGCCGTGCTGGGCCTGCCCCTGTCTGTGGCCTCAACTGTGCCCAGCATCACCCACGTGATCTCGCTGACCACTTACGAGGTGAAGCAGCTGCCACAGGGCGAGACCAAGGTGCCTTCCAAGGTCGTCGAGCAGCGCGCCACGAACTTCCTGATCCACGTGCTCATTGGCTGCGCGCTCTTCCTGGCTCCGGTGCTCAAGTTTCTGCCGCGGTCCGTGCTGCAGGGGGTGTTCTTCTACATGGGCATCGCGTCCTTGACCGGCAACAACCTCTTCGACCGCCTCTTCCTTTGGATGATTTGGGACTCTTCCAAGTACCCGCAGTACAACTACATCCAGAAGCTGCCCATCAAGCGTGTCCACTTGTACACCTTTGTGCAGGTGATTTGCTTGGCCATCCTGTACGGCCTCAAGGCCATCAAGGAGACCTCTGTGGTGTTCCCCTTCTTCATGGCGTCCTTGGCTATTATCCGCAAGGCGGGGCATCCGGGGGTTTTGCAGAGTAGAACCCCTTCCGCCCAGTGCTGCAACTGGGTGTAAAGTTTTGGCCAGGCCATGGTATACATGTTCACTGCGGAAGAGCTGCAGCTCTTGGACAGCGCTGCTGAGGAGGAGGAGGACGAGGCGTGTCCAATCTGTTGCGCATTCAAGATGTCAATTTTGGGGCTGGCTGTCCGGAGATTGGTTCCAGCGCAATGAGCAAGACCAGACACAGCAGAAGGGCATATTATATAGTAGTGCGCACATTTTTCAGGGTACAAAAGGAGATTGAATTGAGAAGGTAATGTTCGAAGTTGTTTTGAAGGGCAAAGGTTTATTTACTTCGTTGGAGGTTGAGCATGGCCCGGGCAGATTCCTGCGACGTGCGAAGCCAATGCTCTTGAGGTCGAGGCCCCAGACCTGCTCAACCTGGATGGCAAGGTCCAGACCCAGGAAGTGCAAGGGAGCTGTGTGGGTAGCGGTGCCCAGCTTGGCAGAGTTGGTTTTGTGAGTGACTGAAAAGTCACCAAACACATCCAGAGCTTCCCTTTTCGTTCTTTGCATGTTTTCGGTGGACCGTTTCAACGCCAGTCGATTGTGCCGCACACGACAGCCTGTTTTCAACCGCATCTTGAATCAAGACCTAGTGTTGAGTTCTGCGTTGTTGTTTTTTTTCCAGGATGCTGACAAGAAAGAGGAAGAGACCTCCATCTGAGCTTCCTAGAGGGCTGTGTTGGAGGGCGACGATGTCGGCTGCCCCTGAATACATTCATTGCAATTTTGGTCCAAGGGACCTTTTTTCGAGTTTTTTGGCATCAGCCAGGCCTGCAGCATTGAGAGCAGGCCGTGGCTTGTGCTTGAATAATTTCTCGAGCGCTACTCAACCTAGAGAAGATGTCAGCACATCGCTCACGCTGGCTTTGACGCTCTTGGGGTCTTTGATGCCTGATTGAAGACACGTGCGGTCACCATGTGACACATCACACCTGCAAGCTATCGCTATGCATCGCACAAAGTGCCTTGCATGCGCGGAAACCGCGCGATGCCGGCGGGTCAAACCCTAGCACCTATAAGTGTATAGTGAACAACAGAGCTGGCGGTGCGAACCTGCAAGTTTAACGGCCTGGTGGTCCAACACGTGTGCAGCTTTCCATTATTAATATGTCCTCAGAGTGGATGATCAATGGTTGTGGACAACAAGGAATACCAACAAAGTCTCCTTGAAAAGTGAGTTATGGGAATGACTTGTACCACTGAGAGGAGTGACTTTTCCACTCGGGGCGCCTCTTAGAAGTCCCAGCAATTCCCTTAGACTTTGGATTCTGGAGTTTAGATGGATTTACATCCTATCCAAACGGACTCAAGACTAAGGGATTGACCGCCTAGAGAGGGGATTAAGCACTTAGCATGGTGTTAGATCTAGGTTTAGAATCGCATTGTATTCCACTAACCATAGATGTTCTTTCGAGGTTAGATTGTTGAAAATGGATGGCATTTAGCAGAGCCATCTATTTTCCAAAAGGACGGCAACGCCACTAAAAGTTGTTTGCCTTTGGCACAGTATCAGCAAACCAAGAGGCCGTTCTGTCAGCCGCAGGTGGAATTTCGCGGCCTGGCGGGCCTACTCTTGGAGAAGCAGAGCTTCAAAGGTGGCCAGGTGGGCGACGGCGATCCGGCTCTGCCACTTGGCAAGGGTTGGTTGCAAATGGTTGTGTCGTTTTTCCGGGGGGACCCCCCCCAAAAAAAACAAGGACAGAAACAAAGGTGGCTGGCCGCTTGGGGTCGGTCCGTCACAAGAGTTGGAACTCTGCCAGTAGGAGGCGACAAACCTGCGGAGAGCATGTCCGCGCTGGTTGCACACCAGCCCTGCCTCGTGTGTGGGTC